AACGTAAAAAAATCTGTTTATCTGCTTATCACACGACTGTTGTACTTTGTGCAGCCGAGTTATTTCTGCTTGATTAAGTGAAGTAACAATATTACATTTAACTGTTTAATTGCATATAACTAAATACATTTAATTATTCATTTTTGCGTTTTCTCTCAACTGTATTCCCTGTACAGTAATTGTCACTCACGCGTATTAATAAATATTTAATGTAATTAAAGCATATTAACGTGTGTAATAAACAATCCAGCAAAGATGTGCCTAACTTTTTTGCCAAAATAATTAGAAATTGTGCGTGGAACCATCTGTTATGATATTTCATGAAAACTCTTACATTATTAATTAAGTATTATTAAATGGCAAAAACTTAATTCTCAAGATAGGGATGAGTTTTGTATTTTAAAAAAACTGTAAATCCTAATAACCAGTAAAATCTCCATCAAGGTCGGAGCCACTCCAGACGACACGTGATCTGCTGGACATATAATCATTAAAGTCCGATAGCTTCGATACACAAACCTCCCAGCAACTAGATAAGGCATATCAATAAGTAATCAATTAAGCTTTAAGGTGAACAAACAAAATCATGTTCACCACACACACTAACATTGATACACACAGAAACACTTCCAAGTTATATTTATTTATTTATTTTTCATTTCTGGATATGTCAAAGTCTCCCCAGTCCCCCAAAATGTAGAAATCTTTGGGGTGATGTTTTTCGACCGATCCCTCTATTATATACAAACGCCAGGGAAGTAAATTAAATAGAATTTAATATGCACCATTCCATTGAAAATATTTCAGCAATATTTCGTCATCGGAAATTCAATAAAAGTAGAAAGATCATAGGCAAGTGAGTCATTTTACAAAGCAAACACGTGTAATTAATACATTAGTTTCGGTGGTTGTACGCAAGTACTGTGAAGCATTGCTAAGTGTAGCACAAAAATTACGAATTACACGAAATTACAGCTGATATGAAGAAAAAATAATCAAATTGAAATGTGTTATAATATATTATTCCTACAAATATAAAGAATTATTTTTTCTGATTACGTCACAAAACCGAACCACGTCGTCCACGCAACAGTTGAAACAAATATGTCGAATGGCGTAGTCTGGTTATTCATTCCCTCTTGATTTATTTTAAGGTAAGAAATAAAACTAAATAGGGTAATTTCGAGTTCGAATTCATATTTTAAATATACTTTATATTACATGTTTGTATAATTTCGTTATGCTGCAGAAGTTCTTACGGTTCAGTTCGTTTCGTTTTTCGAGTACGTGAAAATATAAGTAAGGCCATTTAATAATTATTCTTGAAACATAATTACAATAAGTAATTGCACATTTACCGGGTATTATGTTACCGGTAATTAGCTAATTCTATTCGGGATTACCAGTTAATCAGTGATTTACCGGTAAATTTGTATTGACAAATGATTTAAAACGAAACTGAATTACAGTAGACCCACTATAAAACGGGTTCGTATAATGCGGATTCGTATATAGGTGCAAAAAAATCGAGACAGTACTCGTATAAATACGCTAAAAGAAACTCGTAAAATACGGTAAAACGTCATCGCCGACTCGTGTCTCGACAGGATTGGTCGAATCTAGAACAATAGCGGATATTGCACAAACCGTTGAGTTTAAACCAGCAGCAAACCTACTAAAAACAATTTATTATTTAACGGCCATAAAAATTATATTCATAGTAACGATGTCTGCAAAGTTCAGCGAATTTTTCGCAGAAAAATAATTTATCAGGAAACACTCACCCCCGTTCAATGCGCCGCTCCACCACGAAAACAAGCTTAATTAAAAATACGTTCCTTGTATTTTTTTTGTTCTAATAAATATATCTATCACTTTTAAACTTATTTATATTACTGTTATCAGTATCTACGTTCGTTTTATGTTAAATGAATGAGTCCAGTTTCTTTTTCATTGTTAAATTTGACTTTTCTATTGTGACATGAGAAGTTGATAGTGTAGTAAGCAATGAACAGCTCTCACCAGAATCTGAGTTTGAACTAATTTTAGTGACATCCGCAGGGCATGATTTGTTTTCATTTTCTGATTAGTGCTTGCTTATTTTTACAATTCCATTCAAAAATATATTTTTGTTAACATTATTGGATATTTCGTGTAATTTTGTTCAATTTTCTGGGCTATTTTCCTATATTATACTCTAAAATTATGACCCGTTTTTGGAGTATAATACAAGCAATCAAGTTATAAAAAGACTAGAAAATTCCTTCTAATAACCTTAAATTACAAATGGAATGGCCCGTCACCACCTGCACTATTTATTTACTATGGTATGGGGGAAACAAAAAAGAAATCTGCTTCCCACGAGTATTTCCCGTGGAAATTTTAGGAAAATAATTATCGATTTAATTAAAGGGTTTTTTTTAACCGAAATAACGGAAATGCAATCACTAATTACAATTATAACTAAAATATAATTCTATATTAGTGTGAGAACCGAGGGGGTTAGTTGTCCCCACTTACCGGCGGCTCTATCAGAGGATGGCTTTATAGAAGGGCAAAATAAAATGAGTGGGAAGGTTAATGAGTAAGTTGACAGGTTCCCAAATATATACACAGGTTGAACAAGAATAACACATTTAATAAACAACTATAAAATTGTACATATCAAAGGCTAAGGTGAAGATCTACAAAAATTTTATTCTACGTCGCGACAATGATTTGTCCTTCATATGAAACATCTAATCTGTATTGTCTGAGTTAAGAGACGAGAGAGACATTTCGCAGAGAGTATACAAATAGATATCCAAAAAAAAAAATACCTCTAAGTTCCCGATCCGTAATATGGGTCGTTGGTAAAAACGTTCCTGGATCGTCACGGCAGTTATGGCGGTATTGGTCAGTAGATGTGGCAGTCGATGTCCGCCCTGGAGGTGTCCGCCTTGTGGACTGCGTCCAAGCCCTCTTTATACTATTTTTGAGGGGTGAGAACTATGACATAATTAACCATTTATACGCAACCTGTTCGTGTGTTGATGTCTAGATCTAGCTAGCACGGACAACTGACACAGAGAAGTTTGTTTAATTTATTGATATCAGTGTCTAGAAAATATGATTTTATAATATAAACTAGCTGCAAGGACCCGATTCGCTGGGTTTTTATTTGTGGGAAAAAAGTAACGATAGTGAAGATTCAGATAATTAGTTTATAGCCAATCTTACCCGTTTTCACAGAATGCAAGAATTAGGTCTCCCGTTTCCAGACTAATTAGAGACCTGGTCCCGATTCTATTTCTGAACGTCTGTTCACGTCCAGTCAAATGAACTCTTTTCAACGTTTCTGGAACGTTTACAATCGTTCTATAATCGAACCAATATTCGAATTTGTTCGAACATAAAATTCGAACAAAACATTCGAAATAGAAAGCCACTTTCAACCACTTTCAGCCCCATATCTCCCGCACCCTTACAGCTATCCAGACGCAACCCCCTGGTGCACGAATGGAGACTTGGGGCTACTACAACATACAGACACCATTCACGTGCGATCTGTAGTTTTGGCGGAAAAGTGAAATATAGGGACACACACGTCCATTTATATCTAAATATATAAAATTGCTTGTCCTGACTGACTCACTCATTCATTCACTGATTCATCATCGCCCAGAGCAAACCGCTTAACCTAAAGAGGTGAAATTTGGTACACAGTTAGGGTACGTCATGGAAACGCACACTAAGAAAGGATTTTTCGAAATTCCAACGCGGGGGGG